CTGCTGGGAGTGGTGCTGTCCCTGTGGGTGCGGAGCTTGCGGGTGCGCAGCGTGGGTGTGCTGAGTCTGGGGGTGCTGAGCGTGAGGAGCCTGAGGGTGTGGAGCTTGGAGGTGCTGAGCCTGTGCGTGAGGAGCTTGGAGGTCCTGAGCCTGGGGGTGCTGCGTCTGGGGGTGCTACGCCTGGGCGTACTGAGTCTGGGGGTGAGTCGCGTGAGGGTTCTGAGACTGCTGTTACGCGGTCTCCTTGGAGTAGCCGTCTTCGTCCGCGTGTGCCTCTCACCTCCCAGCAGCAGCACGACTGGTATGGACGCCATAAGCGTCGCGCTTTTGCACCTCAGGGCTCTACTGCTGGGGGTTCTTCTGCTGGCGTCACTGGAGCTGGGAGTGGTGCTGGTCCTTTGCCTGCTGGAGGTGCTGGTGTCGCTGGTCTCGGAGGTGCTGGTACTGGGGGTACTGGTGCTGGTGGCACTGCGGTTGGAGACCCTGGGCCTGGAGGTGCCGGTTATGGGGGTGCTGCACCAGGAGGGGCTAGAGCTACTGAGGGTGCTGGAGCTGCTGGAGGTACTGGAGCTGCTGAGGGTACTGGAGCTGGTGGAGGTGCTGGAGCTGCTGAGGACGCTGGAGCTGCTGAGGGTACTGGACCTACTGGAGGTGCTAGAGCTGCTGAGGGTGCTGGAGCTGCTAGAGGTGCTGGAGCTGCTGAGGGTGCTGGAGCTGCTGGTGCTGGTGGCACTGCACTTTTGCGCCTGTTCTTTGCTCCGCCGTCTCCGTCGTCTCTGCCACCGCCTGACTCTTTTGTCTACTGGTCTTCCGTTACAGCCTGGCTCACCTCTGCCTGCTCCTTCTCTTTACACTGAGCAGACAGGGGGCCTTGCTCAGCTTCGTGAGCCTGCGTCGCGTCCTGTCTCACGTGTCCATTCTGGTCGTTCCAGTCATCGTGTTCCTCGTCAGCGTCAGCCGACTGTCCCCGGCCCTTCCCTTGCAGTTCGTCGTCCTTCCTCTCCTCTGCAGCGTCTTCCTCTGGCGTCTCCTCCTGCGTCTTCTTTGCCTGTCGTTACGGACCTTGAGTTTGACCGGTTTCGTGCTGAGCACCCTACTGTCACGCGTCTGCTAGCCACTGTTGTCACTGACCCGTCGTTTGAGTCTACTGCTTCGTCTGCCTTTGTCGCTGAGCTGGTTGACTTCGCTGCTACCTGTCAGAATATTATGCTCTAGCCTGTAGTGGGGTGCTCCATAGCGAGTACAACCCTTCAAGGGTTTGCTATTTGTATCCCCATTTTTGCTAGTGCAGCCCTCTTCTCTTTTCTAAACTTTCACATGCTATCAGAGCAGGTCGATCCCCTTGGATCGATCCTGTGGGTGGACTCACCACCTCGTTGCTTCCGCTGCAACCCCTACTGCTACTACTATCACTACTCTCTGTGCCGCACGCCCTGTGGCGTGCGGCAGTTTTTCCTTCCGCCGTGCGCCCCGAGGCGCGCGGCGGTTTTCAGGGCGCACGGCGGTTCTCTTCCCGCCGTGCGCCCCGAGGCGCGCGGCGGGTTACTGCCCCGTCACGCCGCGCGCCGCTCCTGGGAGGCGCTGCGACGGACGACGGGGACCTCCGCGTCGCCCCCCGTCGCCCGTCGTGGCCTGCGCCCGGCACGTACGGACCACGCCCGACCTGTCCGCGGCCCGTACGGGCTGCGCCAGGCCCGCCCACCACCCGTACGGGCTGCGCCAGGCCCGCCCGCGACCCGTATGAACGGCGCCAGGCCCGTGCGCGGCTTGGGCCGCCTGCGTGCGGCTCGTGCGACCCTACCTACGGCACGTGCACCCCCCCCCCCCCCCCCCCTTTTTTCCCGTCGCCTGTCGAGGCGACCTGAGGGGGCTGCGACCTGGGGGGTGGCGGGTGTGTAGTCTCCCCTGCTCCTCCTCCTCCTCTGTCTCCCACTGCTGCAGCTACCGCTGAGGGGGGTGGGTGTGTGGGAGTCGACGGAATGGTGCTAGGGGGTGGGGTGTGAGTGACCCTAGGGGTGCAGTAGGGGGTGTGTGTCAGGGGGGGTGAGACTGTTTGGGAAGCTGAACGGAGGTTGCCGTCGTGTCGCCAGCAGCACCTGTAGTCCGGGGAGTTGCTCCGGTAGCCCAGTCCTAGCCACCTGTGCCAGTCGCCCGTGGGTCCGTTGCTCGTCTGCCGCTACTTTAGCCGCGGGGCCAGTTACTCCAGTAGTCCGGAGAGTTGCTCCAGTAGCCACTGTGCCAGTGTGCCTCCTGTTGCCCGTGTGTCTGCAGCTTCAGCCGTCACCTCCTATCTCCTCTCCTCTCACTCTCGCCTCCTCCTCCTCACTTGCCCTCTGCGATAGCCTCTAGCTTTGCTCATAATTGTTAACTTTAAACTATTGCTTCTTGAACTTGTGCTCAGAATGTGTGGTGACATTGTGATCCACCCTGAGCTTGTACTGCTTTGCTTGCTCTGCTGATTACACCCCACTTTGGCTATGGGGGTGTGTCAGAATATTATGCTCTAGCCTGTAGTGGGGTGCTCCATAGCGAGTACAACCCTTCAAGGGTTCGCTATTTGTATCCCCATTCTTGCTAGTGCAGCTCTCTTCTCTTTTCTAAACTTTCACACTACCTGTCGTCTAAACTACGCTGCTAGTCTTGTTGCTGAGTCTGAGTCTGTCTGTCCTCCGTCCGTCGGGGGTGAGTGTGCTCTTGGCACGGACGTCCTTAAGGACAAGCAGGAGGACCTTGAGTGTCTTACCGCCGCTGCGCCTCATCTCGTGGCCATGCTGCTTGCCCCTGAGGGAGACCCGGATGCACCAGACATCCCGACCATGCGCTCTTTCGCTCAGGCGATCGCGAGTGAGTACTCCTCTCAGTGGCAGACAGCCATGGACGCAGAGAAGGCATCCTGGAAGTCCACAGGCACGTACGTCGACGAGGTTCCCCCTCCTGGGGCGAACATCGTCAGTGGTATGTGGATTTTCAGGGTAAAGCGGCCGCCAAGTTCTCCGCCTGTCTTCAAGGCTCGTTACGTTGCTCGTGGTTTCAGTCAGCGAGAGGGAGTTGAATTCTTCCAGACTTTCTCCCCCACCCCGAAGATGACCACTCTTTGGGTGCTGCTGCACGTTGCCGCTCAGCGTGACTAGCTTGACTTCAGCACAGCTTTCTTACAGGGCAACCCGCACGAGAAGATCTGGCTGCGCCGCCCACCCGGCTTCACTGGGTCGTTCCCTCCTGGTACCCAGTGGAGCCTCCGGCGGCCGGTCTACGGTCTTCTCCAAGCACCACGTGAGTGGCACGACACATTGAGGACGACACTTGCAGCTCTTGGGTTTGCTCCTTCGACTGCTGACCCGTCGCTGTTTCTACGCACCGACACTTCGCTGCCGCCGTTCTACATCCTCGTGTACGTCGAGGACTTGGTCTTTGCCACTACTGACACTGAGGCTCTACTCCTGGTGAAGTCGGAGTTGCAGAAGAGACACACGTGCACAGACCTGGGTGAGCTGCGCAGCTACCTTGGCTTGCAGATCACCCGAGACAGAGCACGCCGCACCATCACACTGACTTAATCACACATGGTGCAGCAGGTCCTTCAGCACTTCGGCTTCACTTGGTCCTCAGCACAGCACACTCCTCTGGCTACAGGACACTTGCTCTCAGCTCCACCTTCAAACGAGTCCGTAGAGTCGAGTGGTCCTTACCCAGAGCTAGTGGGCTGCCTCATGTATCTGATGACCTGCACTCGTCCTGACCTTACGTACGCTCTTGGCCTTCTGGCTCGCTACATGGCTCCTGGTCGGCACCGAAAGGTGCACATGGATGCTGCTAAGAGGGTATTGCGCTTCTTGTTCAGTACATCAGGCATGGGGCTCGTGCTTGGAGGGCGGAGTCCAGTTGTCCTCACTGGGCACTTAGACGCTTCTTGGGTTGACGACCAGGCTACACAGCGGTCGTCACACGGTTACACGTTCAGCCTTGGCTCCGGCTCTGTTTCTTGGCGGTCTACACGCTCGTCTTCTGTTCTCAGCTCCAGTTGTGAGGCTGGGATCTACGCCACAGCCATGGCTGCACAAGAGTTACGCTAGCTCACCTACCTGCTGACCGACCTGGGAGAGCGGCCTCGTTCTCCTCCAGTTCTGTACGTAGACAACAAGGCTACCATTGCCTTGTGTTAGGAGCACAGACTGGAGCACAGAACGAAGCACATCGCTCTGCGTTACTTCCTGGCTCGAGAGTTGCAGCAGCGGGGTCAGCTTCGCCTTGCTCACGTGGCCACTCAGGCCAACACTGCTGATATATTCACCAAGGCACTTCCGTCTGGTGACCATCAGCGCTTTTGTACTTTGTTGGGCCTTGTGCCAACGTTTCCACACTTGCTGTAGTCTCTACTTGTACTGTGATTTATATATAAATACCTGCATGCTTGCTCTTGCTAGCTAGAGATCAGTGTGCTGTTTTTGTTGCTTATATACCTCTGAATGTGGACTGGCCTTGTGGCCGTTTGCTTGTGCTCAGTGTGTGTGGTAACGTTGTAATCCACCATGAGCTGTGTTTTGTTTCTTCTCTTGACTGGTCTTGTGACCGTTGCTTGTTCTAGCTATCCCCCATTTCGCCTATGGGGGTGTGTCAAAACATATGCATATCATTATCTAGGCTATATTGGGGCTAGCCTTAGGGGGTACTGAAACTTTCTCGACACTCTAGCCTTGTACCCCAACGTTGACCTAATCTCATCATTCTTGCCTTAGTTCTTAACAAGCTAACCAAGTTGGGCTGGCTATACCAACATCGCGATTTTTCACCTAGTCGCGTGTGGTGTGAGTAACTACACATGTAGGCTAAGCCTTGAAAACGTCCATCAATTGAGCCCTCCATCTCCCTTTTAGTAGCCCCGCCGCTTTGCATTCGGACTGCCGCCGCGTGGCATTCGCCGAGCCCGCCGTGCATGCAGCGCGCCGTCGTAACCTATTTCGTAAGAACCACGGCAAGTTACATTCGGCAGGATTGCCGCAATGCGATCATTGCATTTAAAATCGGGACATTGCCCGTGCTTCCCCTCCTTCCCCCCCCCCTGTTTCTCCTCCCTTCCCTCCTACCTCCCACCCCCCCTCCTCCCCCCCCCTCCCCCTGTATCCCCTCCTTTCCCCCCCTACTTTCCCCCCCTACTTTCCCTCCATTCCGCCCTTGCTTCCCCTCCTTTCCCTCCAAACCCCCCACTGTATCCCCTCCTTTTCCCCCCTGCTGTTCCTCCTTTCTGCCTCTGCTTCCCCTCCTTTCCCCACCTTGCTTCCCCTCCTTTCCCCCCCGTGCTTCCCCTTCTTTCCCCCACTGCTTCCCCTCCTTTCCCCCACTGCTTCGCCTCCTTTCCTCCCCTGTATACCCTCCTGTCCCCCCCTGCATCCCCTCCTTTCCGCCGCTGCTTCCCCTCCTTTCCCTCCTACCCCCCCCCTGTATCCCCTCCTTTCACCCCCTGCATCCCGTCCTTTCTGCCCCTGCTTCCCCTCCTTTCCCCCCCTGCTTTCCCTCCATTACACCCCTGCTTCCCCTCCCTTCCCTCCAAACCCCCCACTGTATCCCCTCCTTCCCCCCCCTGCATCCCCTCCTTTTCTTCCCTGCTGTTCCTCCTTTCCGCCCCTTGCTTCCCCTCCTGTCCCCCCTGTGCTTCCCCTGCTTTCCCCTGCTGCTTCCCCTCCTTTTCCCCACTGCATCCCTCCTTTCCCCCCTGCTAGCACATCGTTCCTACCTGACTTGAGGTCACTCCTCCCCACCCTTCCTTCCGATCTCTCCTGCCTTACACGCCATCTCATGTCTCTTCCTTCCCAACACCCTTATGATCCTCATCATCTGCCCTCTTCACCTTCGCTTTTCCCGACCCTTCCATCCCATCCCCCCTCTTCTCCCTTTCATCTCCCTTCCAACACACCTGTCAAGACACTAGCGTATGCGCTGCCAGTAGTGCAGGCACTGGCAGGGCGTGTGCTGCGGTGAGTCAGAGCGGTGGTGGTGTTGCCCACTCGAGACCATCTCTCACCTACCTCGACTCACTTTCCCAGCTGATGTTTAACCATCAACTTGTCTTTTTGCCCAACACACAATCCCGCTCTTCCTCTCTCCCCCTCCTCGCCCCCAACCGTGCCATTCTGCCTACTCCAGCAGGTGAAACACGTGTTTGACACCATGGCGCTAGCTGTCGGCCTCTCAGTGGCTCTCATCAACGGCCAATCATCGCTCGCTGACGAGGCAATCCACCGGAGGGGCCCTTCACATCTCCACTCCCTGCCTTCACATCTCCACTCCCTGCCTGCTAATTGGTAGTGTTGAAACAGGGCAGCAGATGCAAGCAGAGGCGCAGCTAGTAGTGGATGGTGCTCACAACCTTTGTATAGACTCGTGTGCATTGTATGAGTAGTATGTTACTGCTAGAGATATTTGTCACAAAGCCTGCTATGTGCTACCACGATTTCAGCAGTGCAGATTAATCATCCAAGATGCATGGAAAGTGAAGGTGTCACATCACATACAGGGAGAAAGAAATATGTTCTTGCTAAGATGAATACTGCACGGATCTATTGACCTTTCTCTAGCTGATTTGACATGAGATGATGGCGTGAGGCGAGATGATGGGGAGGGAGAGAAGGTAGGGAAGGGAGAGAAGGGAGGGGAGGGAGAGAAGGGAGGGAAGGGAGAGAAGGGAGGGAAGGGAGAGAAGGGAGGGGAGGGAGAGAAAGGAGGGGAGGGAGAGAAGGGAGGGGAGGGAGAGAAGGGAGGGGAGGGAGAGAAGGGAGGGAAGGGAGAGAAGGGAGGGAAGAGAGAGAAGGGAGGGAAGGGAGAGAAGGGAGGGAAGGGAGAGAAGGGAGGGGAGGGAGAGAAGGGAGGGAAGGGAGAGAAGGGAGGGAAGGGAGAGAAGAGAGGGAAGGGAGAGAAGGGAGGGAAGGGAGAGAAGGGAGGGAAGGGAGAGAAGGGAGGGGAGGGAGAGAAGGGAGGGGAGGGAGAGAAGGGAGGGAAGGGAGAGAAGGGAGGGAAGGGAGGGAAGAGAGGGAAGGGAGGGAAGGGAGGGAAGGGAGGGAAGGGAGAGAAGGGAGGGAAGGGAGAGAAGGGAGGGAAGGGAGAGAAGGGAGGGAAGGGAGAGAAGGGAGGGGAGGGAGAGAAGGGAGGGGAGGGAGAGAAGGGAGGGGAGGGAGAGAAGGGAGGGAAGGGAGAGAAGGGAGGGAAGGGAGGGGAGGGAGAGAAGGGAGGGGAGGGAGAGAAGGGAGGGGAGGGAGAGAAGGGAGGGGAGGGAGAGAAGGGAGGGAAGGGAGAGAAGGGAGGGAAGGGAGAAAGGGAGGGAAGGGAGAGAAGGGAGGGAAGGGAGAGAAGGGAGGGAAGGGAGAGAAGGGAGGGAAGGGAGGGAAGGGAGGGAAGGGAGGGAAGGGAGGGAAGGGAGGGAAGGAAGGGAAGGGAGGGAAGGGAGGGAAGGGAGAGAAGGGTGGGAAGGGAGAGAAGGGAGGAGGGAGTGGAGATGGGGAGGCGGGAATGGGAGATGGGGAGGCGGGAATGGGAGTGGGGAGGCGGGAAGGGGAGATGGGGAGGCGGGAAGGGGAGATGGGGAGGCGGGAAGGGGAATGGGGAGGCGGGAAGGGGAATGGGAAGGCAGGAAGGGAAAATGGGGAGAGAAGAAACAGTGATGGGGAGGCGGGAATTGGAGATAGGGAGGTGGGAAGGGGAATGGGAAGGCGGGAATGGGAGATGGGCATGCGGAAAGGGGAGAACGGGAGGTGGGAAGGGGAGAACGAGATGCGGAAAGGGAGAACGGGATGCGGAAAGGGGAGAACGGGATGCGGAAAGGGGAGAGCGAGAGGCGGGAAGGGGAGAACGGGATGCGGAAAGGGGAGAACGGGATGCGGAAAGGGGAGAACGGGATGTGGAAAGGGGAGAACGGGATGCGGAAAGGGGAAAACGGGATGAACGGGATGCGGAAAGGGGAGAACGGGATGCGGAAAGGGGAGAACGGGATGCGGAAAGGGGAGAACGGGATGCGGTAAGGGGAGAACGGGATGCGAAAAGGGTAGAACGGGATGCGGAAAGGGGAGAACGGGAGGCGGGAAGGGGAGAACGGGATGCGGAAAGGGGAGAACGGGATGCGGAAAGGGGAGAACGGGATGCGGAAAGGGGAGAACGGGATGCGGAAAGGGGAGAACGGGATGCGGAAAGGGTAGAACGGGATGCGGAAAGGGGAGAACGGGATGCAGAAAGGGGAGAACGGGATGCGGAAAGGGGAGAACGGGATGCGGAAAGGGGAGAACAGGAGGCGGGAAGGGGAGAACGGGATGCGGGAAGGGGAGAACGGGACGCGGGAAGGAAGGCGACTCCGCGAGCGGATTTGCGGTGAGGCGACGCCGCTATGGGATATACGGCGAGGCGACGCCGCGACCAGATTTGCAGCGATTCGACACCGCGGCCGGATTCGCGGCGAGGCGACGCCGCGACCGGATTTGCGGCGAGGCGACGCCGTGAGCGGGGATTTGCGGCGAGACGACGCCGGGAGCGGATTTGCGGCGCGGCGACGCCGCGACGGGCGTTGAGGCGAGCCTACGAGGCCGAAAGTTGCGATGGGACGAGGCCGCTACTGTTGGCTCGATGCGGAGGCGATTTGCGGCGAGCGGATTATGCAACGGAGGTCGACTCTAGGCTGCGTGGGGAGGCAACGAGATATCTACTGAAAGTGGCGACGCCGTGGCGACCAAACAAATGAATGCGTATTCGGCGACGCTGGCTCTGGCAATCTTCGGTGTATGACATAAGCCTAAAAGACGCACATCAATGGTGTAGGTCAGATTATTCTAGTAGTGCACGCTAAGAACGCTACTGGAGTGAGCTGTTGCGGGGGGGAACGAATGAGTATACTTTTGCCATCTATAAACTTCTGACATTCGAGTGAGCTGGAGGGAGTTGGGGGCAACTCGTTTTTTTTTCGAGAGAGAGGTTGGGTGGGCTTGTAATTCGGTAACCACCATGTACCATTTATAAAAATTTGGCACTGGCCCTGCCAAAAGTATACTGCTGCTTTAATGAGCTTCTGTTTGTGTTTCCATAAAAAGAAACACTGTATTACAGAAGGACATTCTTGATTCAAATTCTATACGACAAACGAATTTATTATTGGCACAAAACTAAGAGACAATAAGGGAGGATTCCTGACTTCGGGTCATCCGCTTTTTGAGTCATCCCAAAATGTGGGATCCAATCGGAAAACTCGAATATCAAGATTGAGGCTTTTCTATTGGATCCAACAATTTCGAATGACTCAAAGAGCGGATGACCCAAAGTCAGGAATCCGCCCTAACATCAATCATTCCCACTCCTGTCTGCTGCACTGCATGCTGGGGGGAAATGACGGAGGTAGTGGCGGGTGAAGCGTACAGAAGGGCATGAGAAGCGACAACGCTAAGGGATGGGCAAAGGGGAATGTTAGCAGGACAACAAGAGGGGTTAGAACGGGGGAAAGGGTGTGAGTGAAATGGGAAAGTGAGTGAGTGGGAGAGAGAGCGAGTGGGGAAAAAGGGGTGCACAACGGGGAAAGTGAGTACGGCAGATGGGAAGATAGGTGAGAACAAGGGTAAAGAGAGGGAGAAGGGGGGAACTGGGGTGAGAAAAAGGAGAACAAGGGGAAAGAGAGGGAGAAGAGGGGAACTGGGGTGAGCAAAAGGGGAACAAGGGTAAAGAGAGGGAGAAGGAGGGAACTGGGGTGAGCAAAAGGAGAACAAGGGGAAAGAGAGGGAGAAGGGGGGAACTGGGGTGAACAAAAGGGGAACAAGGGGAAAGAGAGGGAGAAGGGGGGAACTGGGGTGAGCAAAAGTTGAACAAGGGGAAAGAGAGGGAGAAGGGTGGAACTGGGGTGAGCAAAAGAGGAAAGAGAGTGAAAAGGGGGGAAAGAGAGTAAGTGAAGGGGGAAAGAGAGTGAGAAGGGGAGAAATTGGGAGAGTGATGGAGAATAGCATCACAAAAAACCTGCGTTTCCAATCTGGGGGGGTTGGGAACACTTTCGAGGTTGGGTTGTTTGGTTTGCGCGAGGAAACCCTGTTTTCGTCGAAGCTCAGTCTGCTCTTGGTCGCGCGTCAAAATTTGGTCACATTGAGTCTGACGCCCTGCACATCGAGCCGCGTCAGATTCTGACCGAGGGTTAGGCCTGGCAAATTCAGGCCAGGGATGCTCCCATTTTAGGCCTGCTTTGTTAATGTTTGACGAGGCAAATTCGGACCAATTTTGGTCCAATTACAGATTGTTTACAGTTGTGTAGATCATGCTTTGCTCTATGAGACTTGTTATTTTATTACATGTATATATACAAATTGTAAAACTGATTAACAGAAACCAAAGTAACTTGTGTTACATAACGTCAACAATCTATCCGACGTCTTGTTTAATCTTGTGTAACTTGTGTTATAAAACATATTTATTTTATAACATGCCTACGCAGATGCATGCTTTCACTACACTATCTAAGTTGGTATTTGTTAAGCAAATAAGCGGTGTCGCTATGAAACGCCTTGATAACGTGGACCTCGCGATAAATCGCATCGACGTTGACCACAACATACTTGGAAAGGGTTGTCGTCCATGCAAGTCGAGTGCATCCCGTTTTCGCATCCTCGCCCGTTTTGGTCCAGTACCTCACGTACGCCAGCTCCCTTTTGCAACCCCTCTCCTTGGTGTGAAACAGGAGCAACAACTTCCCATACCATTCAACATCTCCCCCGTCTTGTGCTGTCCCCATGATGGCCACGTCTGAGAATCATGGCCTCGAGTACGAATGGGGGGCAGCCTTCACAAAGTGTGCAACGCGCGAAAAGTGCTCTCCTTGGGCTGAGAAAATCGCCATTGTTGTGTGCGCCTGCGACAATGCATGAAAACCATCGTTATGCTTTGGATAACACTCTTATGTCATTAGGGCCGCACCCAAGTTTAGCTAGAAAAAACTGTGGTATCTCCATACCACATCTCAGGGAAGATGGGAGATAGGGAGGGCAGGAGAAAGTGGTGGATGGGGTTAGGCCGAATGGGGAAGGGTTGGAAGGATGATGGGTATGGGAACGGAGAAGGGGTGCTCCAGCCAGTTTCCAAGTGGCTAGTGTAGGTGGGTCTCAACAAGGCCAGGGCCAGCCCAGAGGAGCACTCCTGAGGGTCCTTTGCAGGG